CTCTGCAATTGACTGAGCTCAGCCAAGGGTCCCTAGGCTATGGCTTTCAGCATTCAGCTCTTTCCAGTGGTGACTGAAAGGAAAACTACTTGACCTTCAAGCTGCGTATCTCCAGAAAAGAAAGCAGGGGAGCAGCTCCTGGTGTAGCACCTCTGATGGCCATGAGGACTGTGCTTTGTGGCAGCCCTATGCTCTTGCAATAAGCCAACACAAGAGCAGAAGGCTTGGAATCTTGAGTGTCCCAGCCAGAAAGCCAGACTAACATGCCCCGTGCCCCCTGCAACACACCCCTATGGACTGCTCTGCTGTCTAATCAGGTAACCACTAGCCATATGTGGCTATTTAAATAGACAATTAAATTAATTAAAATAAAACAAAACAAAACAGTCAGCCACTCGGTTGCATTAGCCACATTTCAATGTTCAACGGCAAGAGGGTGGCCAGTGGCTACTATATTGAAAAGGGCAGAAGAGACCACTGCCATCATGGCAGAAAGTTGTATTGGAGGTGCTGCTCTGGAGTCAGGACTCTGGGTTTTAGTCAGTTAGTCAGGAGACCAACACCAGACTTACCACCCACCTATCAGGGGAATGGAGGGTGGCTTTTATTTATGTGGTAAAATAAAAAAAAAAACGCGAGAGTATTTGTTCTCTGAGTTGGTAATAAAGCACTTATATGTGGTTACATTAACAGCAATGGATATTTGGATGCTGGGGCACAGGAGACCCCAATCTTTATGGAAGAAAAGATTCTACTCTTAAAAACCAAACAAAAATATGTATACATATGTATGTGTTTAATTCCCACATACTTAGGTACAAAACACCCAAAAAGTATTTGGGTAGAAAAACTATCTAGAGTATAAGATTAACGTTCCCCAAGGCTACAAAAATAATGGAGAAATTATTAAAACAGTTAATTATATTTAATATCTTAATTTTAATTCCTATGTACATCAGTTATCTAAAATCAACACGGGTTCCACTCAAAGCTAAGAGTAAGAAACTATACTGGGATAGAAGCCAAAAAATTAGGTATAAGTTAGCTTCTTCATCATCAGATGGAAGGCACTGACCTTTAGAACTTAAAATCCTCATTGTGAACACCAGAATATCATCATCTCATTTGGCGATATTCTAGAGAGACATTAATATCCCTCTCCAATCTCTTAGCATAACTGTTGGTACCTTAAGAGACTGGATCATAACACTAGGTAATTTACATATAGCATTAATCACATGTCATTTTCAGTATTATTAATTACTCACATTGCCTTTATAATTAAATATAGTAAGATTAAACCAAAGAGAAGTAATTTTTAAGTTCTTGCTTAGGGCTGATGCTCTGTTGAGTCTAACACAGCATCTTGCCTGGTGTAGGCATTTCCCTACCCACCTCTCAAATGTTGGTGTTTCACAAGTCCTGAGCTTTTCTCATCTCTTTTTTTTTTTTAAGATTTTATTTATTTGACAGAGAGAGAGACCGCGAGAGAGGGAACACAAGCAGGGGGAGTGGGAGAGGGAGAAGCAGGCTTCCCGCTGAGCAGAGAGCCCGATGCAGGGCTTGATCCCAGGAGGCAGACGCTCAATGACTGAGCCACCCAGGTGCCCCCCTTTTCTCATCTCATCATTTATCCCAAGTGATTGTATCAGCAACTAGGGCTTCATTTACCAAAAAGAACTCCCAATAATAAGGGGCTACCATTTGTGGAGCATTAACTATGTGCTAGGCCCTGTGCCTTACAAGCATTAACCGGGTCAACAGTCACAACAACCCTGCCTGCAAGGAAGATACAGCCCATGTCTCTTCCTAACAATCATCTAGATGCCCAGGTCATAGGTCCCTTAAACTCATTTCCAGAGCAGACTTACCTTCACCACAAATCTGCCTCAGTTCCTTCATACCTTCATGCAAAACATCGCAAGCCAGAAACCTACAAATCACCCTGGATTCCTCCCTCTCCTTTTTTCTCTACTTCCAATCAAGTTCCAAGTTCTATTATTTTTACTTCCTAAATATCCCTTCATTCCATGCAGACTGGCAGCACCCTAGAAAAGGCTCCCATCATTTCTTGCCCTGAGTCCTGCATCAGCTGTCCAACTCATCTCCCTGAATCTGATCTTTTTTCTGTAATCCCAGTTACTCTACTAACTTAACCTTATTACTCTGGGCATCTGAAATACAGGGGTCTGTAATAATGAGGTCTCTCTCATAGGTTTACGTGAGTTAAATAAGACATAGAGTTTTCTAAGTGTCAGGTAGTTGATAAAAAGTTATACAGCTGACACATGAATTGAGACAATTTGGTGCTGAAGGCTACGTGCTTAACCACCACCACATATGCCCAGGTGAGCCCATCATTATCAGAAAAGTCATGATGAACAGAGACATAAGAAAGGAACATTTACAGTGAAAAGCTTTTGAGAATGGCAATATAAATATACTCCAATTACTCTAAAACTTTGCAGCTTTAACAACAGTCACTTATTATGTTGTGGTTTCTGTAGTACCACTTAGCTCAGTGCCTCTGGCTAGAGGCCTTTCATGAGGTTGTAGTCAAACTGTCAGCTGGGGTTGCAAACTCATCTGAAAGCTTGACTGGGGCTGAGGGGCTTCCAAGCTTGCTCATGTGCTTCTTGGAGGCCTTCATCCCTTGCCACATGAACCTTTACACAGGGCTGCCTCACAACATGGCAGCTGGCTTCCTCCAGGGCAAGTGATCCAAGAGACAAGAAGAGAGGGCCCCCAATATGGAAGCCACAATCTTTTAATAAACTCATCTCAGAAGTAACAACCCACCACTTCTGTCATTCATTGGGAGTGAGTCATTAAATGCAGCCCATACTCAAGGACAGGGGTTTACACAAGGGCAGAGACCCACTAAGAGCCAACCCAGAGGCTGCTTACTATTATCACCCAAGTAGACATCACAGCCCTGGAGGGAGGGGGTGTACTGAGAATAAATGGGGCTCTATCAGCATTTCCTTTAGCTCTCTCTGCTTTTCAGAGTCAAACTGACCATGAACTTCATGTTCTGCTACTTTGTCATCAGTACATAACACTCTTGTCTCTGCCTCCTCCTCACTGCCATCTCTGTCACATGGAGGATATGTGGAGAACCCACAGATTGCTGGGGACTATTATATATCAGACTTTTTACATAAAAAATAGATCAGCATTATAATAGCTACTGGATATATTGTTAAGCATAAATTTAAGTCAGGAAATATAACAATAATTAAAATTTAAACATTATCACAAAGTTCTAAAAATTAAAGCAATGCAAGTTATTTTTAAAAGAACCAAAGCTCTTTTGGAGATTTTTAAATAGAATACAAGTTAATAGTAAAAATAATTATTTCATGCTATTCTATCTACATTTCTAAGTAGTATTTTCATTATACTTCAACCTACTGTTACTAGCAAGAGAAAGAGTATTCTGGGTTGAACTGTGTGCCCAAAAATATACAGGTTGGAATCCCAACCCCCCAGTATCTCAGAATGTGAGCTTATTTGGTGATAGTGTCTTTACAGAGGTAATCAAGTTAAAATGTGGTCATTCAGTTGGACCATAATCTACTATGACTGGAGTTGTCATAACAAGGGGAAATTTGGACACAGAAACAGACATGATAGAGGAAAGACAATGTAAAAAAGATACAAGGAGAAGACAGCTATCTACAAGCCAAGGAGAGGGGCCTGGGGCAGAACCTTCTGTGGCAAGCCTCAAAAGGAACCATGAGCCAAGCAGAGCCAGCACCTTGATTTTGGACTTCCAGCCTCCAGAACCATGAGACAATGAATTTCTGTTGTTTAAGCCACGAGTCTGTGGTACTGTTATGGCAGCCTGAACAAACTATTATAAGGCAAAGAAAGAAAAAATGAAATTTAGCGAGAGAGAGAGAGGCAGAGAGAAATAGAAAAGAAGATGATATGTCAAGATACATATTCACCTGGATGAGTTGATTTTAATAAGAAATGCACAAGGGCCTACTCCTAAAATCTCATTTAGCATATTTATGGAGCAGAAGCTGACAGATATTTCCAAAAACTGTGTAAATGGAACACAGTGCCAGGTGAAAACAACCAGATTCTCCCTCTACAGGTGGGGTCTGACCTGGTAGGGGCCAACAGTGGGAATCCAGGAGCAAGAGGGGAACCTACCTTCTGGTAGTCTTCTTTCGACCTCAGGGCCACCTCCATGTGCTCAGTAGAGGCTGGATAGATGGCTGAGCGGTACTGAGTGCCGTGGTCATTGCCTTGGCGCATGCCTGGGAATGTGGAAAGCAGAAAGGATCACTGGAGTGGACCAGGTAACAAGGCCAGTGTCACAAGTTCTCTATGATTCATGTGCTGCTAAGTTGTTCGGTTTTGTTTTGTTTTTTTTCCAATTGAAGTATGGTTGACACACAATGTTACATTAGTTTCAGGTGTACAACTTAGTGATTTGACAAGTCTTACCTTATGCTATACTCACCACAAGTATACCTACCATCTGCCACCATACAACGCTATTACAACACCTTTGACTATATTCCCTATGCTGTACCTTTTATTCCTGTGACTTATTCATCCCATAACTGGGAGTTTGTACCTCCAACTCTTCTTCACCCCTCTTCACCCATCCCCCACAACCCCTCCCCTCTGGCAACCATCAGTTTGTTCTCTGTATTTATGGGTCTGTTTCTACAATTTGTTTGTTTGTTCATTTGTTTTGTTTTTTTAGATTCCACAAACATGCGAATTTGTTTTTCTCTATTTTACTTATTTCACTTAGCATAATATCCTCTAGGTCTATCCATGTTGTCACAAATGGCAAGATTTCATTCTTTTTTATAACTGAGTAATATTCTGTATATGTATACCACAGTTCCTTTATCCATTCATCCATCAATGCACATTTAACATTGCTTCCATATCTTGGCTGTTATGAATAATGCTGCAATAAACACAGGGGTACATATATTACTAAGTGCTTGTTCTAATTTCATCTTGACACCACTCTCCTTAAACAAGCACAAAATACATGTTTCACTTTGCTTATTTTAATTACAACAGATGTTTGAACTTAGGTAAATTTATCATAGGTCTTAGATCATAGTAGATGCTCTACAAATATGTATTTTTCTATGCAGATATTTAAATCATAACCTATACCATTTTTCACTTGCAAAGCACTGTGTTGTACATTATTTCTTGGGATCTTAGTGAGATAAGGTGAATGGCAGTTACTATGGTCCCTCACTTGGCAAATAAGGAGATGGGATTACATATGTGTAAGCACCTGGCATACTGCTTGGCACATAGGAGGTACCTATAAATGACTAAATAACTGGTATTCAGTGAGTTTGAAGAGCTTGCCTAAGGTCATCCACAAAATTAAGGGAAAACCTGAGCCTTAAAGTTAGCCCAGCCCATTTTTCCCCGTGTAACAGCTGCTAACATATAGATCCCAATCAATTTCTAACTGATAGTCCCCAAAGTTAAACAGCCACAGGCTAAATATAGATCCCCTATAGATCTCCATGCTGAGGTCAAATGAACCTCGCATGCATTTACTGCATCATTCAAGAATCCACTTCAGTTTT